TGTCACTCCTGGGTGATTTTGGCTGTCACCCCTGGGTGTTTTGGGTGTTACTCCCGGGTGTTGCGGTGTCCCAGTGTCACCCCTGGGTGATTTTGGCTGTCACCCCCGGGTGTTTTGGCTGTCACCCCCGGGTGATTTCGGTGTCCCACTGTCACCCCTGCTGTCCCCAGGATGTCACCAAGCGCCTGTCCCTGCCGGCCGACACCCGCCTGCCCGAGGGGGGGCTGGGGCTGCCCGGGCCCCTCAGCCGCCGCCTGCGCCGCGTCTCCCTGGTACGTCCCAGTATCAACCAGTATAAACTGGTATGAACTGGTATGAGTCAGTATAATCCAGTATAAACTGGTATAAACTGGAATGAATCGCTATAAACCAGTATAAACTGGTGTGAATCAATATAAACCGGTATAAATTGGTATGAATCAGTATAAACCAGTATGAACTGGTACAAATGAATATAAACCAGTATAAACTGGTATGAGTCAATATAAACCAGTATAAAGTAATACGAATTGATATAAATCAGTGTAAAACAGTATGAACCGGTATGAATCAATATAAACCAGTATGAATCACTATAAACTAGTATGAACTAGTATGAGTCAATATAAACCAGTATAAACTAGTATGAATCAGTATAAACCAGTGTAAACTGATATGAATCAATATAAACCAGTATGAGCCAATATAAACCAGTATAAACTGGTATATATCAGTATAAACTAGTATAAAACAGCATAAAACAGTATGAACCAGTATGGACCAGTACAACCCAATCTAGAATAATGTAGACTATTATAAACCGGTATAAACCAGTGTAAGCCAGTACAACCCAGTATAAATTACCGTAAATCCGTAGAGACCAGTATAAACCAGTGTAACGCAGTACAAACCAATTTAAACCACTGTAAATTGTTCTAAACTAGTGGAAACCAATGTAAACCACTATAGACCAGCACAAACCAGTATAAACCTGTAACAAGGGCTGGGAACTCACAGCCCCTGCTTGGGGGCGGCTGCTGAGCCTCCTCTTGTGCTGCCTCCCAGTATGGACCAGTACAGACCAGTATGAACCAGTATACATCGGTTTGGACCAGTATAGATCAATTTTGACCAGTGTAGACCAGTTTGGCCCGGTTTAGCCCAGTTTGGGCCGGTGCAGGGCAGGAGGAGCCCGTGTCCGCTCCTTCCAGTGCTCCCAGTGCTCCCAGTAACACTTTCCCCTCTCTGCCCAGTCTGAAATCGGCTTTGGGAAGTTGGAGACGTACGTCAAACTGGACAAACTGGGAGAGGTGAGGGGGGCGGGGCCGCCCCGGGTCCCCAATGTCCCTTGTCCCCGATGTCCCCTGATGTCCGCCCAATGTCCTCCCATTGTGCCCCAATGTCCCCCAATGTCCCCAATGTCCCCGAATGTCCCCAACGCCCCTCAATTTCTCCCACTGTCCCCAATGCCCCCA